TGTCACGTCTCAAATATATATATATACAAAAAGAGACACATATTATTATTCTAACAGAGAAATTAACTTCCTACCTACTTTAGAACACAACTCTTACAGTCCTGTAGCTTAAACTTTTACAGCCTCAAGTTTCGCTCTCCTACCTGTAAACATTTCCAAGAATCCCCTCTGACAAAGAAAGTCCTCCATACATCCAGAGGTTTCCTTGTGGCTCAGACACCAGAGTGTGTCCCATTCTGTGGAGGAACCTGTGGGCCTGGTTCTGTAAAACATACATATGTGAATGCATTACACACAAAAAAGTAACAAAGCATAATTTATTTTGTTTGTTAGTTCAGCTCCTACCATTGTCAGCTGAGTGTCTAACAGCGTCTCCCAAATCAAGCTGTTGGCGTCTCGGGGAACTGAGCAGTCTGAGCCAGCCCAGCTCTCTGAGCACACACACACCCCCAGAGACTATGAAAAGCAAAAAAAAAAAAAATGCTGTTAATAAGCAGATTTTAAATTGTGCTTTGCAATTTCAATAACCCTAGGCTACTAAATGAAATATTACATAATTAAAAAAAATAAGGCAAACTTCAAATGTTTCTTGAAAGAACTCTTACTATATTACAAACTCCTCTTCCTTCTGATGCTCCACAACCCCGAGGACACATGGGCCGATCACAATGTGGCCCCCTGTATCCCTGAGGACACTGACAGATTCCACCCTGACACTGGGCTCTACCAGAACACACAGACGAACCCTCTTCATCCTCATCAGAGCTCTGTTGACACCGCCGTACCCAGAAAGACGCATTGAATCCTTGTGGTTTGTTTGAGGAGACGTTGGCTTCAAAGTATACTGAGATCACACCTATTGGCCRAAGAGGACACACAGGATAGCTTCACACTGCATTCTGTAACTGAGTAATAGCAAAACCAGGTACAAAGTAAACTACTAAATTAAATTAAACTTCTCTTATTAAAGCTTAAAACTGATGTTGTGTTACAGAAAGTGTTCAGGTTAAAGGCCTACCTGAGGTGGCCTGTACTGTGATAGGCTGAGTCCTTGTGGTGCCACAAAATGCGCCAATAAGATTGTGATCAGAATGTACAACTCCATTGCCCAGAAAACGAGGGATGCCATCAAACACGTAAACATATGAGCTCTGCAAAATGATGCAAATTTAATGTGAGTTAACTATTTAATACGGACAACTGTATCCCACAGAGCAGCTCCAACAATAATTTCTGTCTTGCAAGAAGTCATATTTGAACTTACTTTGCAGTATGTGTGAGAGTCTGGGTGCAGAGTAAGGGCTATTGGTGGGCAGAGCTGTCTGGGCAGGCAAGGTGCCAAGTTTTCGGTGACAGACAAGACCCACAGACAGTGAGAGAGTCCTCCTTTCCCTTCTGTGCCACTGCGCCACCCCAGAGAAGAGGACAGGGGCATGGCTGAGGAGGAGGTGGAGGAGAGCAGGACGGAGCGGCCATTGCACTGACGGTAGCATGTGCCATTGTTCCTGTTGGTAAAAATAAAAAGATCATGTCAGCACTCAGTTTAGACACAAAAACATAAATCTGTACATTACAGCTATGATGAGTTGTGAACAACTCCTTACCTTGGGTCTCCGTAGTAGCCCGGTAGGCAGGACTCGCAGTGCGGTCCCTGAGTGTTGTGAGTGCAGTAGCACTGGCCTGTCTGGTTGTGACAGTAACCTTGCAGTGGGTCACCATGTCCGTTGCACTCGCAAGGCACACATCCGCCACCTCCAGCYAGGGCTGAGCCAAAGCTACCTGGACGGCAGTGTTCACAGTGAGGCCCTGTGGTCCAATCTGAATGAGAGTGAAAAAAATAAATAAAAATCAGCGTAAATGTAACAGTCGCTACATTAATGTGATGATACATTTCCCTTTGCTATTTTTACAAATATTACACAGAGCTGAAACAATAAAATGATTCAAATAAAARCAGATTTCTGATGATCTCACTCTGGCATTCATCACAGATCCCTGGAGCAGTGATGCAGGTGGAGTGGAAGTTGCAGCCACAGTCTACGTCACACTCAACTCCACTCAGAACCAGAGTGGCAGGGTCAGAGGTCCAGCCCAGGGAACATTCGCACTCAAAGCGTGGGCTGCCGCTACACTGGCCCTCACGACACTCATTGTAGCAACTGTAAAAAGGTAAAATGGATATTTTATTGACTATTTTTTCCATCCTTAAACAACATTCAGGGTTCCTACAGTTTAAAGCAAGATAAATTTAAGACTTTTTAACGCCAACTGAAATTACATTTAGGACCAATTTCATAATAAAACACAAAAATGACCAAAAAATAAATAAATAAAACTGAAGCAGAAACTCATGAATCAAAGCATTTTTGGTTGACGTTTTCAAAATATTGATRATATACCAATTTTTTTTATCCAGATCTAATTGCTTTTTTGTCAAATATAGCAAAAACACTCTTAGCGGTCAGTTTAATGACCCAAAGTTGGGAGTTTTTAGGACCCACAGTGGGGTCTTAACCCCAATTTTTTGTTGATGAAACCTTAAGTGAATGTGACATTTTTGCATGCATTTTTGAAATGACAACATTATTAACATATTACAAAACAAATTTTACATTGCTCAGATGGACAGTTGTTGAGATATTTGCATCTAAGTAACAGGAAGTGATGTCAAAGGGGAATGTCTGCATATAAATATATAAAAAATGTTAACAATTATTTTAATATTTGAGAAGAATTACAGTCATACTATTTACAATGTGTTAACATTTTTAAGAATCCTGAAAGATTGATTTAAGACATTTTAAGGCTAATTAAGGCCTTTTAAAACTTTTTAAGGATCTGCAGGAACCCTGACATTAAGTTGAAAATAACTCACCAGGTCATTTATAATTTAAAAAAGTGTTACCAGGTTTTCGTGCACAAACTCTTACGTTTGGTTGCAGTGCAGCGTGCCATCTCCTGTGTACCCTCTCTCACAGTGGCACTCATAAGAGGTGGGAGTGTTGATGCAGGTGGCAAAAGGGTGACAGTTGTGAAGACCTAGCCTGCATTCTTCTACATCAGGACAAGTGGAGTAGGACCAGACTGCATCTTTTTCTTCATCATCAAAGTGCTCAAACTCCATCTCCATTTCTAGGGGTCTGGGTGGAGCAGAGGTCTGTGGCTCAGGGCTGAAGGAACATAAAGTGATCTAACGTTAAACACGTATAGTTTGCAATAAAAAAGTTGCAGACATTAGTAGAAAACAAAACATTGTTGTAAATTTGCATTTCAGTAACTTGGATAGTTAATTTGTGAGTTTTGCAGATGATTACAACAATATTCTTACTACTTCTAAAACTCTCAATTAAAGGGGACATTTCACACAAAATCCACTTTTTTAGGCATTTTATACATTTTGTTGTGTACTTGGAGTCTCTAGGAGTGCAGAAAATTTAAATTTAGTCTCTCCCATTGCTGTGTAGATACCTTTATGTTCTGTTTGGGTCATATTTTTCAACATGTTCAGGTTTCTCTACACTATATGATGTTTTCTAAACTATTACGTCACATTATTTGCAACTGAAGTTTATACATGTACAATGTATAGCTCTTGCAGTTGAAAGGGGCTGGGGTGTAAAGAGTCTTGTTTGGATTTAAAGAGACAGACTCAAAACGAGCTGATCTTAGACACATCTCAGAAAAGGGGTGAAAGAGGGGCTTGTGGAGTTACAATAAGGAGGAATTCAGACTAAAGCATTGCAGTTCTACTTTTTATAGACCCCAAGTGAATGATTTAGATGTGAAAAGAATTTAAAAGCATGATATTTCTCCTTTAATTGTTGTAGTAGTTCTAAACAGGCCTTATGATTAATCACTACTGCAAWTGCAATAAGCAATAAAACATTAATATTACACTTGGGATTTAATAACTAATTTTCGTTGAGAAACAGTTAACTCAGCTTAAAATTTATTGCAATGAGACATCTTACTTTGCAGCTTGAGCTTCAGCCACAGCCACACTACAGTTGTATACAGAAGGGTCATCTACTCCAGCCCAGTCTCCTCTTAAACATCTAAAAAACAACAAATACACATTTTCACACCTGATGTAAAAATATGTTAAATATAGTTAAAGTTATAGCTATGGTCATACGTACTTCCCAATTGTGGGGTTGTTATAGTCACCACACCAGCCACACTGGAATGTTCTCAGACAGTCAGTACACGTGCTTAAAGCTGAACACTGCTTACACTGGGGAACTGAGTGCACACTGATAAAAGACAAAACAGTAAATATGCAAAAATTTAGGTTATCTAGTGACAAAATATATTAACATGTGCTTAAATAACTATATTAAGATTACTCCAAGCTTATAAATGATTAATGAAAGTTTTTTCCTGAGGTTTTTACGCTTTAGTAAATAGAAATTGTACTGAAATACTAACTAATCAGTTAGACCCAAAAGCCAAGTCTTACTAAACTGTATATTTAACTGTAATTTTTTATTTGGTTTAAAAACTTTCAAACCAAAGGAGGAGAAAAATAAATGCAATTTTTAAAAAAAATGTTGCAAATGAGCACATTTTACCTGTCATACCAGTCCCTGCATTCTCCATAGGGATATTTTGTGAGATAGGCAGCAAAATAGAAGCAGGTCTGAGCTGACTCACACCATGCACACTGACTGGAGTTAGAYAAGCACTCGCCACATGTTTTTCTCCTTAAAAAGAAAGTGGAGAAAGATAGCAGTAAGCTGTGTGTTCTTGAAAAAAAAAAACAATCATGTAAGATCTGAAATTAAATTAGTTTGAAAAATAGATTTTCTACTCACTGGTTGCACACTTTGGGACACCACTTTGAATCACGGATGGAACCCTCTAATCTGCCCCGCCGGCTACACTGATAGTCTCCTTTCTTGCTGGAATTTATTTGCCACTCACAGAAAGTGTCCTGTAAATCAAAGTATTAATGTCAGTCAACAATACAGAACTTCTAAAATAAGCTAAATAAATATTTGTTGCACTGTACCTGAGTACATGCAGAACAATCTCTGTACTCTTCACACAGGGTGCAATGTTGTGGTGCCAACAGCAGGTGGCGCTGACCTTCACCCTTTGCGGTTTCAGGACAATGTTCAAAGTCTGGCATGTCCCGCAACAAGCAACGGGACAACGATGGACACCAGCCACAAGACTGGTCAGACAGACAGGCCAGACACGACATGTACCCAGAACAGGAACCTGAACGGTAGGGCTCCAGGAACAGGAACGAGATCTCCTTGAGGAAAACAAAATCAATTTATTATTCTGCTTATGTAAGAAAAAACGTCTTTAAAATACAAAAAAATAACAGAAATGTGAATGTAAACAGCATGCCAACRCAAGTTTTTCAGTATAAAAGCTTAACTATGTCACTACTCACGCTCCCTCCAGGTAATGTTCTGTTCCAGATTAGAGCCATTTCACTGGTCTGCCCAGAACCTGAGTTGTTAAGATAGCCTTCAGCTTGAACAAGGTAATGGTTTCCTCTGGTCAGGTTAGAGAAGAGTCTACTTCCATCTGGCCGAACCAGCAGTTTCAACTCTTTTTCCTGCTGAGCTGCCCAGCGACCAACTACCTCCTGATAAAAAATAAATATGCATACATACTGTATAATTGTAAAAATCTAAAATAAAAGGGCAGTAATTTACACTTGAGATGAACTCATCCTTACCTGATGGGTGGAGTTGGGTCCTATTGCCATCCTAGCCTCAAAATGAAGCCTCTGAATGCGAGCCCACATGAAGACGGTCTCTGTAGGAGGTGGTGAAGGAGGTGGTCCCCCCCATAATGGGTGGATGAAGCCCTTGAACTGTAGAGCCACATCCATTTCTGTGGTGGGACTAAGAATGATGTTGGTACTGCGGAGTATAGACACCTGATGGGGGTGGTGGTGAAGTGGACGAAAGACAGTGGAGGATGGATAAAAGTGGAAACATATCAAAAGCGGCAATGTTATTTATACATTTCTGCTCTACATGTTTGACAATCTGCTTGGGGAAAAAAAACTATGCAAAACAGAGAAAAAGAACTGAGTATAAGTAAAAAAAAATCTTAACATATTGAACAAAAAGGAAACGAAGAAGCAATAAATGGAGAACTGCAGTGGAGCAAACATTTTTTAAAGGAAGGAAGGAGGATTAAGTCACAACAACTAATACAGTGAGCAGTTGAGATTTGGACTCCGTACCTTGTCAGGCTGGGAGTCGTTGCGGGGGTGCTGGAAGGTGAGCAGGTGCAGTCCCGGGACATAGTTCTCGGTGCGACAGGAGTGGAGGGAGGTTAGGAAAAGGGTACGCTCCCCCCACCAGCCGTACGCCCCTGAGATCTGGTCCACACGGCACGCACTTCGCTCTGTGAGACCGAGAGGGAGAGGTCAGCACACAAAGTACACATCTGACCTCTTAACAGTTTCATTATACTATACTGCTGTACTAGAATGACTCCTCTGTGACTTCTGTGTGAATTGTTCACACGGAGTAAAATGACCTGACTTTACTGCACTGAAGGAAGTGTGTGATTGGACAGGCAAGCCAAATAACAATCTGAGTAGCCTGTCCGATCGCAGCAGCGTGTATAGTCAAGTCACTAAACTCAATCTCAGAATCACATCAAACAGAAGTCTTTTTCCCTCCCAAGTCAACTCCCAACATCTTGTTTTTTCTTTCCTTCAGCCCTCCTTCCTTCCTCCTTAGGTCTCACCTGACACTGGTAAGCAGGACTCATTCTGAACACACCAGCCAAATTCACCAGGGGCTCGGGCTAGRGACGCTGGAGTGCCACTGAACACCAGGCAGGACTGACAGTCTGACAGGAAACGAGCCAGGCCCAAGCAGCCAGTGCTGCCACACTGAGCAAAAAATAAATAAATACAGTTATACGCAAAATTAGACAGGCATTCAAATATAAACATGGAAAGAAAAAAAAATCCAGTGATACAGGACATAAAGGGAAAAAAGTACACTTTTTAAGTGATTTAAACATTGTAGAGATCATAAACACAAAGCAAAGCAAAAGACTATTTTGGTTAGAGTTACCGGGTTGGTTGGCTGGTATTCTCGACAGCGGCCTTCACACCAGCTGCACTCTGGGTTCTTCAGGCACATACTTTCATCAAGTGCCTCAGCACAAACAGCATCCTAGAGATGTGAAAATAAGTTAGTTTACACAAAAACAAAAGTACAATGCAATTAACAATCAATGGATATCTTATTTTTCATCCAGTTTCTTTCAAACTCTGCAGTTTCACAAATTTCTAAGTACCTCAAATTACACAGATTTGCTCTCTCTTATTTTAAGGCACTTAAACTCACCCTGTCACCTTGATCACTACTAACAAACAGAGGTACTTTATAAGCCACAAGGTCTCCACGAGCCACACCACTGTAACCACCAGCTACCAGCAGCACTTGCCCCTCCATCACAGCAGCCACGTGTGAGTACCGACCCCTCACAGCCTCGCCATCTTAGAAACAAACACAAAATAAATTCAGTAGGCATCTAACCTGTACAAGTATCAAGAACATCGAACAGCAAACAGAAGAAAAGACTAATATGATGTAAGAATTATAATTATGTTCAACAGGTACTCACTGGATGACCATCTTGTCCCAGACGACACCCATTGGTGGCAGCCCAAATGATAGAAAAAGATTTCCTCATCGTAGCATTTCTCCTCTTGGTAGTGAATATGAACATTCCCCCCTGAAAGAAAGAAAAAAAAAAGAAGATAAAACCAAAAACATAACATGACTTGTTTGCAAAAAAAATCTAAATAGTCTGTGCTTATATTCTTGATTCTCACCATAAACCACCATGTAGTTTCCAATGACAGTGGCTGTATGGAAAGCTCTCTCTCTGGGCCCAGTTGCTGGGAAACGGGAACGGAAAGAAGTCCAAAACCGCCGGTCCACATGGAACACGTCAGTGTTGTTGACCCGCACACTAAACCTTAAAAGAAAACAACAGTGACTAAAAGATGTTGCTGTGTTATCTGACAGCTTAATATTCAAAATGAGTTCAAGTTTAACACCATGGTTAAAAAAAGTCCATGTTCTGCTAATCAAATGTTACTATTAGTTTGACTACTAGGTAAACAATTTCCTATACTATGTGTAAAGGATCACCAAAATTTTACACATGAAAATGTGTTTGAAAGACTGAAACACTCATTTTCTTTACTCAGACATGTAGCAATGTGTATTACAATAACCAGTATGCATCAGAGTTGTAAAGTAACTAAGTAGAAATACTTCTTTACTGTACTTAAGTAGAATTTTTTGGGTATCTGTATGTAACCCTCTTAATTTAATCCCCTTTATTGTCGTAATTAATGTATTGGTCGTGTTTAAAGAAGTTGTGAAAGTGCAATTCTTGTTTCCGCCACTGGGTGGCAGTGTACTAAAACCGCCATATTGAAGGCCCTTCTTTCTGGCAACTTCTTTGACGTTGTCCTTGTTCTGAACCGGAGCAGAGAAACGAGCAGAAAAGCGGGAGATGAACCAGATGCATCTTCAGATCTTGTGAATGATATTGAACTACGCTGGAAATTGAATCTGAATCAGTTGAATGTGAAGTTGTCTCGACTGTTTTTTTTAGAGGCTTAATTTTTTTTGGGATTTGGACCTTTGGAGTTCATGTTCGTCTCGTCACCTTCAGTGGCCCAGGTGCCTGGATCCTTGGTCTATTCACCACCTACTAACAGCGCTGCAACAACTTCCTTGGATGTTCCTTTGATGAACGTTGGGTTATCAAAAGGGGTGGTAGGACAATTTTTTTTCTGAGTGCACTCAGAGGATTTACTTGAATTTTTGATTTTTTTTTTTTTCTGAGATCTCAGAGGTACTATGTTTGGTTGTATTTTGATTGATTGTATTGATTTCGTGAATGCCATTTGAGTTGATATTGAAAAAAAATAATATAATTTCTATTCATTTAAACTTAGATTGTTTCTTGTGTATCGTTGGGGTAGATCCTATTAGTCACAAAAAGGCTTAATTACAACTATACTTCTCCTCAGAACCTAGACTTAAATAACCCTATCCTCGGATCTTTAGAACTTGCAAAAGCAGTAACATTGGGTGGGTTACATAAGTGGCGAGCCAGCCAGGAGAAGTTGGTTTAGCATTTAGGATTGACTCTACCCCAAGATAAAAAATAAATAAAACACAAAACCTAGAATTTTTTTCATTGTACCACTGATTTTTAAAACTGAGTTGTTAAAACAAAACAAACAAAAAACATTGTTTAAGTATTTACTTTTTTTGCAAAATGGATCTCTGCCACCAATTTGATGTACATGGGCCCAGCTGTCTTTTTGTCTCGGGCATAGATGAAGCTTATACTGATGATCAGATTAAGGATTTCTTTAATGTTAATGGRGACATTAAAAAGATAGTGAGAATCCCCGATGATCTGGACCAGCCCCAAGGCCGTGCCTTCATTGAGTATTCATCTAACCGAACTACATCCAGGTTCGATCCAGCGCAACTAGGTAACAGGGCAAGCCCTAATGACCCGAGTGTAAACTGGTATGTCAAATCTATTCGTGAAATGTGCCAGGAAGAACTTGGAAGAGAATTTGCTCAGAAATGTTTAGCTGAACTAAGCTTACTTGCCGAACAAGTAAAACTAGTTTTTGGGGTGTACTCCAGAACAAGATGCAAAATCCCCAGTCGGAAATTTCTACTTCTCAGAGCCCTGATATTCACTTTCAGCCTTCTGACCAGCAGGTTCCTGCCCTCACCAACAACAATGGAAAAGTTGGTGGAATTCAACCTAATACAGCTGAGCCAGCCTCCCCAGATCCAATCACCCGCAGCATCCCATCCACTGGTGCCACATTTACTCCTGCTTTTGATCAAGGTACAGTAAACCCACCACATGTCCAAAAGGTAATAGTTGAGCACTTCATTCGGAGTGATGCCACACCATCTAGCTTTAGTCAAAGCAGTATCCGGACTTTCTCTGGAAGGCTTCCAAAGCCAAATGGTGAGGTTGATTATGATGCATGGCGTACCCAAGTGGATTTGCTTCTCAGTGATGTGTCAATCTCTGACTCACAAAAAGTAAGGAGAATTTTAGAGAGTCTCCTCAGCCCAGCTGCTGATATTGTTAAGCTGTTTGGTTCAACTGCACACCCCCAGGCTTACCTCACTCAACCCGAGTCAGCATTTGGAGTGGTTGAAGATGGTGAGGAGCTATTTGCTACCTTCCTTGGCTCTAACCAAAACTCAGGTGAAAAACCCTCTGCCTACTCGAATCACCTCCAAACCCTCCTAACTAAAGCCATATCTAGACTGGGAGTTTCAGCCACTGAAGATGACAAGTACATGCTTCGACAATTTTGTAGAGGGTGCTGGGACCAGAGTCTTATCATTGGGCTCCAGCTAGAGCATCGAAAAGCCAACCCACCATCCTTACCTGAATTGCTTTTACTTTTGAGAACAGAGGAGGATAAGAGAGCAGCCAAAATAGATCGTATGAAAAAGCATCTTGGAAACACAAAAGCAGCAGCACATGTCCATTCAGTTTTGAGTCTGCCAGTATTTGAGCCTGAACCTGCTCCCACAACTGCAATAAAGAAACCTGAGACAAGTACCAAACTTGAAAAGGATGTAGCTGAGCTCTGGAAGCAAGTTGCAACACTAGTTCAACAAAGTAAACAGGAGCAAAGACCTGAAGAAGCAAGAAGCAATCTTGCCCGAAGTGAAACACTTACCCAAAGTGAAAGTTTAGCTGCTTATGCTTCTAACAGAGACCCAATGGCCCAGACTCCAATCCCACCTAAGCCATGGTTCTGTTTTAAGTGTGGTGGAGATGGCCACATTGCGGCTAAGTATACTTTTGAGCCCAACCCAGATTTGGTCCGTAAAAAGAATGTAGAACTCAGAGAGAAACGAGACAGATTTTGGGCTCACCAAACAGCCCTCAAATCATCTTTAAACTTGTAGAGGCCCCTGCCACGGGACGACCAGGAGCCGTAGACCAGACAAGTCCTGTAATAATGATTCACAATGAGAGTTCCTCTGATAACAGCAGTAATCCCAGTTTCATATTGCCTCTTGGACTTGTGGACCCTTGCTGTATTTCTACAGTATCTGTAGAAGATGTGATATGTGACTCTTATCTTAGACACTGGGTCTCAAGTAACAACAGTATCAGAGACTTTCCACTCTAGATACCTGGCAAACATACCCATTCAGCCCATACATAACATTCTTGAAGTTGAGGGGGCAGGGGGGGCAGGCAGTGCCTTACCTTGTGTACGTAGAAGTCCTTCTCAATTTTCCAAAAAATGTCATTGGGACAGAAGAGCAAATGCAGGTTTTAGCCCTCATTGTTCCAGAATGCTTGTTCAATAGCAAGACTTCTGTTTTAGTTGGTACTAATGTCTTGCTAGAGCTTTACCCTCGTGGAATCAGCCATGACAAATCTATATTTCTCAAAAGGTCAGACAGTCTTGCATTACTGCTCCAACATGTAGCCAGAGCACATGAAAGTGGAACTAAACCTTGTCCAGTTAAACTGCATGGACATAAGCCCATTAACATTCAGGCTGGACATAAAATGTGCCTTTCTGGAGATGTCAGAGTGGGAAAAACAAATCCTAATAACGCCTTCGTTCTTGAACCACCTGAGTTTTCTTTTCCAGGTGGGCTTTTCCTCCAGTGTGCACTAATTAACATCAACATGAGAGCCTCAAACAAGATTCCTATTGTCCTTAGTAATGTCACAGGCCATGCTATCACTTTACACACAAAATGTGTCATTGGTGAAATTTCTGCTGTCCAGAGTGTAATGTCCCTGAACTCCACTGTAAAAGACAATTCCCCAAAATTGAAAAGCAAGCATTCATTCAATTTGGATGAATCTCCAATGCCAGAGGAGTGGAAGCGACACACTGAAGATAAACTCAATTCTATGTCAGAGGTGTTTGCAGTGGATGAACTGTCTTTTGGTCATACCACAGTGGTAAAGCATCATATATGTCTTAAAGATCAAACACCTTTCAAAGAACGATCAAGACCAATACACCCCTGTGATCGAGAGGCAGTCAGACAGCATCTAAAAGAGCCCCTGGATGCTGACATAATTAGAGAGTCAGACAGTCCTTTTGCATCCCCAGTGGTTATTGTAAAAAAAAAAAAAATGGAAAGATCAGGCTATGCATCGACTATAGAAAGCTTAATAGCAGCACTGTAAAAGATGCATACGCCCTTCCCAACATTGAGGAGACATTTTCAGCCCTAAGTGGAGCAAAGTGGTTCTCAGTGATGGATCTTAAGCCTGTGTATTACCAGGTGGAAATGGCAGAGGCAGATAGACCCAAAACCACGTTCACATGCCCGCTAGGCTTTTATGAGTCCAATCATATGCCACAAGGTGTCACAAATGCACCCAGCACTTTCCAGCACCTTATGGAAAAGTGTGTAGGTGACCTGCATTTGAGCGAGRTTCTGGTTTTTTTGGATGACCTCGTATTTTCTGAGACTCTCGAAGAGCATGAGGTGAGACTTATGAAGGTGCTGCATCGTCTCAAGAGTTATGGCCTGAAGTTATCCCCAGAAAAATGCCAGTTTTTCAGATCATCTGTGAGATACCTTGGATATGTTGTGGATTCTGAAGGAGTCCACACTGACCCAGATAAACTGTCTGCCCTTAAAGATTGGCCCTGTCCAGCGAACAGAGATGAGTTAAAGCGTTTCCTTGGATTTGCTGGATACTACAGGCGATTCGTTGAGGGCTATTCAAGGATCGCCAAACCTCTAAATGCTCTCACTGAGGGTACTACCCTCCTAAAAAAAGGGGGAAAGCTTTATAAAAGTGTAAGGCCTAACACTGGTGTGAGCTCCAAAACACCCTTTGGACAAGAGTGGACACCTGAGTGCACATCTGCTTTCAAAATGCTGATTGATAGGTTAACATCAGCCCCTGTACTCGCTTTTGCA